GGATATTTTGGATCATCATGCATGCGAAATGATACAATTTGAATACGACGCGACTCAAATTCTACTCATGTGAAAAATATTGTAAGAAGTTAGTCACTCCACATTGAACACCAAAATTCTCAACTTAATTCCAATTTCCGTACGAAAGATATTCAAATGCCATATATTATAATGACAACTAACTTCTCATTTTGCCCTTTTGGTCCATCTTTTGGGTTATGAATATAACTAGTCTGCTTCAATTTGCAGTAGCTGGGTTATCATGGTATTGGTCAAAACTTGGAAATGCAGCATTGGTCAAAACTTGGAAATGCAGTATTGGCCAAAACTTGGAAATGCAGGGGTTTTGTCCGTACAATTTGACTGTGGATAAACTTATATGGCATAGTGTTGACCCTAGAAACTACCAAGCCTACGTGGCGCGCATGCCGAGTATTCTATAAGCTAACTACGTCCTTCGGTGATTGCGGGGCGTGCCAACTCGTCGGCCGAGCTCGGCTGAGGAGTAAATTTGTTGATGTTGCGTTGGGTCGCGCTACTGACTTCTGCGTCTTGCGATTGCGGCTGAGAAAGGAACACGTCTCGGCCTCTTGGGCTCTCGAACCTGAAGACAAGGTTACTATTCTTACGAAGTTCAATATCAAATTCGGCTTTCCATGTGCCGAATGTAATAACTGTAACACCTTACTTCGCCGAGAAGGCTGATGAGATGACCTCGACCAACAAGGATTTAGAAACCCTTCTCGACCGAGACTTGGATAGGTAATCAATCGTTCTCGCCGCAGTGCTGTTGATGCCAACGGAAGATACTGCGAGACCGACTGACTCTACGGTGACAGAGCTATCTATGCCGACTTAAGATATCACCGGTTGCTTTCACAGTGATGTTGATGCCAACGGAAGATGTGTCAGCGAAAAAGGAAAAAAGAAAAATCACAAGTTGTAAGAATTTGCGCAGGGCAATTTTGTATTGATTTCCAGGGGCTTCTCCTGGTGCACAGCTTCCCCTATTTATAGCACTGGTCCTTAAGTCTGAGTTAGAATCCTATTCGGACTAGGTTTTCCTCTCCGGATCAACGTCACCTCGACCAGTCCTATCTTTACTAGGACTATGAATCTAGTCCTTAACTGAGCCGGATTTGTCTTCTGGATTATTGATCTCGTCGAGACTCCTCATTGTACTAGGACTCAGCTGGCGTTCTGACCTAACCGCCCTAGGCTGGGAAGCCCACTAGCCGATCGGCCTCCCGGGCCGAGAGTGATCCTACCCTCGGCCCAAATTAATATTTTGGGCCCAAACACCTTTGCATGCCTCAAAAGAAACCGTGGACTATCTCCTAGTCCAATTAGAACTTTATGTCCACCACTTTGCTTCCAAGTGCAGCTATGCACGCAAAATAAGATAGAGTCTAATCCCAAAAAACATAATCACGTGGCCAAAACCAACATCTCATCCAAAGGCAATTGAGATATAATCAAATAATAATTTAATATATTATTAAGAGATAACATCATGATTAAAATCATAATATTATCCTTTAATAATGATAAAAATTATCTTCACTTTGTCATCCAACGATTGAGAGCTATGCTCACTCAACGGCCTTGATTGCACGGGCCGATGGTGTAAATTTGGGTCCAAACACATAGATACATCGTACGGTGGTTGTGCCAATAAAATAAAGATGTGTAAATTTTGGTTTAAATGTCATTTTCTTACACCATATGACCGTGAAATTGTGTCATGTAAATTGTTTTCTTTCTTGAAAATGAGAAATTCTCTTCATACACAATTTAATCACATGTAGATCATCTGTTAAATAGATATATTGTACTTTTTAAACACATAATAAACATTTATTTGGACGACACCACAAAAACTAGGGTTTGAGCATGCAATGAACTTCCTCAAGGAAAATAGAAAGAATTATCGAGTGCAAGTGACCGTTGACAAATGATCATATTCTTTGTAGGAGAATTTTCTACCCTTACCGTTTTTCTTTGAGGCTTCAAAGTTTAAGGAAAAAGGTTGCTTGACTAATAGTTAACATAAAAGAATAAAACCATTTTAATCATCTGAAATAAGGAGTGAAGAGCAGACCTTTTCGCAAAGCATGATTAACATGCATGGATGCATGTCTGAATTGTTCACGTAACTTATATTAATTTTTTTGTATAACATTGGACCCAAACCTTAAAGCCTAAACCCTAAAGTTGAAAGTATTTGATGGATTCACGCTCAAGGATATGAAATTGATGGTAAACTAGACTTTTCCAAAACAATTCAATCACGTCGTGTATGACATTGAGTACATACACAACCAACTTTTTATCTGGAGTGGATGGACATTGGGATCAAGGTGGTCTCAGGATCATCCAAAGTTTTGGGAAATATACATGTAAAGGTCTTTTTAAGGAATCTCCGAATATTTGGTAGGTCTCTTTTGTACCTACCAAGTGTTTGATGTAATGTATGCTAGACATATCTCGACAGGTTGCATCGACAATACTCTACAAATTCTCTTTATCACTCATCAGATGGCTTCAACATATTTCGATAGCTATTAACACAAGTGTTTGAGCAAATGGCTAAGTTATTTACTGATTTTTTTTTTTTGCGCGCTTCATGCTATGTTTCTATTTTAAAAAAACTTGTATTTAACACTTTTGAATCCTAATCTCCATATAAAATCTCATATATTGGAATCAATATAACCAAGTCTTCCTCTTTGATCGCCAAATAAAAACACCTATGCATGTCCTTATCTCACTTCTTGGTTATTGCGTAATAATTTATGTCAAATGGATAGTGCGATAGAGGCAGGGGAGATATATCTGTTCAAGAATACACAATATATAGTGACAGTTTTATTCTAATGGCACTGAAGTTTTTCGTAATGAACCCCTTATTATACTTAACGAATTATAGGTGGTGAAATGTATTCATGGCTTCGTTTATAAGAGAGAATTGACTTGGGTATGGTTATTTGCTATATTAAAGGTATTATGAAGTACAAAATGAACGACAATTTTCTTATTTTGTCCAAGAAAAGTTGTCCCTTTAGACGGATTAATAGGATATATTTTATTCATTAGTAGCCTTCGATTTGAACAAAATAAGGAAGTTTTCATCCATTTTCCTTAATGCCGTTAGTGAATAATCTTATTCAAGTCTATCATCTCTAAATTTTCTAATCATGTAGCTAATGATATGTTGATTCATTTGGAAATGTTTGTTCCAGTTGTTTCCATTCAATGTATGCTTTCCATTCTCAACTGGTGAAATATTATATTGAAAGCGAATTGGTCAGCAATTCAAACTATATATCTTCATTTGATTTAATTAATTAAATTATACTGAAAGCAATTTCAAACCATATATCTTCGTTTGATTTAATTAATTAAATATATGGATTTTGTGACCCTAAGCCTCTGACTGTATCACAGAAGTACAAATCGACGTGGAGAAGATACCTTGCTAGCTATATCGGACTACGATTTTTACTTTTGTTTAAAAAGATTAAGATTAAAGACATGCGGTTTGGAAACCAGCAGCCAACACCAAGGTCGCCAAAACCATCACTAGAATTGCAAATCCACGGGAGCTTCAGACCTTGAACACGAAAACATGAGATACCACAACCGACTCCAAAGATTTCTCTCAAAACCCTAGCCTTCATGATGAACACCATAAGTCTGATCAAATAGCCGTCACCCGAAGAGCTTCAGGATGGAGCTCTGATGCCGATAAAGTCAGTAACCAGCGGAACAATTGCGATGGAAGGTGGCAGTACGAGGACCCGAACTGAAGTTCAAAATTCTCTTCTGAAAAATTCGCATTTAAAAAAAGCATGGACGGAACTTGTTGTCCAAGGCCAAAAAAAAAAAAGAATAAATGAGAGGGGCTGGGATGTTGTAGCAAAGGATGTGGGAAATGATGATACGGGGGACGGGAGGAAGAGAGGAGGGACAGCGAGAACTGAGAGAAAGGGATAGCATACGGGATGTTCGCTTTTTCCCCTCTCTCCGCCGAAAGCTTGGACTTGCATATATTCATTGTTAGCATAGCATGGAAAGTCCATAAATAATAATAATAATAATAAAGAAAAAAAAAAGAAAAAAGCATAGCTTGGAAAGTGACATTGAATATTTCACCAACAAAATCAATGTTAAAGACTTGTAGAGAGATAAAACGCACGTTTTCTCTAGGTAAGCTAATTAAATAAGGAAAACTAACGAAAAATTTAAAAAAAAATTTAGTTTTAATGAAAAAAGACAAATGAAGATGTAGTGAATAGTACCACGGAAATGTAAAAATATGATTTTTTTGTTAAAAGTAAATAATATCAAGAATGTTTCGTTAAAACTTCCAATTAAATAAGGATTCTTTCATTTTTGAGTGTAGATAAGTATGTAAATTTACAGATTTTTTTTTTTGAACAATCGATATTATCTACACTAAGAGAAATAGATGTGCTTAGCCTCACAATGGGCTAACAGTAATATGGTTCAAATTCGTCTTTGGCGATAATCAAACCTAAGACTCTTACTAAAGTAAAGATGAATATCACTATGTCGTAGTACTGTACTGACAAATTTGCATATTTTAAGCGGAGATGTTAGTAACTTTCTTGTTTGGACCTTCTCATTTCATTTTTACGCTCCTGCATCTTTTTAACCTCCTGCATCTTGTTTAGTAATCGAGTTCGTCCATTTTCCAAACTGCCTTTTGAAGATCAATCATGTAAAAAATCAATCAAATTACATAGAAGTTCTTCAACAGTATGAGTTTTTAGTGTTTAATTAAATAACATGGATTCATTTATTTATTGAAAATTGTCAGATGATAAAATGATTTCATATGTAATTAAGTTTTTACATAAATGATATTTAAAAGCCGACCCAGAAAATAAACAGTTTGAATCATCTATCATTATTATTTTGTTTTTTTTTTTGGCGAATGAGATAATATATTATCAAGGCAAAGATGCTTTGGCGAACGAGATAATATATTATTCAGGCAAAAATGCCAAAGATACAAAGAAGCCTACCCCGAGGCAAAAGCAAATAACAGCAACTAGAGAGAAGTAGTACAAGGAGGTACAAACGACACTGCATCTAATGCTAAAAGTGTCACTCCTTGTACTACCAAGAAGAGATTAAGGGGGACAATGAAGACCATCATTACACAAAACATACACAAGGGAGCATGAGGGTCTATAAACCCAAACATTATCACAAACATTATCACATACCTCCCTACTTTGCCGCGACGCCAAAAGATCTGCAGCCATATTGACCGATCTTGAAACTGAACACCAGCGGCAGTCATTAAAAGCCTCCCCCATTCCTTTGCTCCGCGCTAGAATTGGGAAAGCTTCCCAACTGCCCATCGTAGCCAAATCTAGAAGACAGGAAATAGATTTCAGAAAGTCAGATTCCACGATGACATAATTCCATCCCATATTTCTTCCTAACTCACACCCATGTAGCACAGCCAATGCTTCCGCCGCCGCAGTAGAGGTTGTCACCTTATATCTGACCGCTGCCACAAACCTGCCCACTTCATCATGAGCTACCACACCCACAAAACCCGAACCCCAGCTCCATAATCAGCTGGCATCCATATTAATTTTAATGAATCCCGTACAAGGTGGAGACCAAAGGACATCAGAAACTGTACCTGGGACAAAGATCGACAAGCTAATGGACAGGGTCTGATTAGTTTCCTTAAAAGCAACCACCGAATGGGTGATAGCTGCAATAATCTGCCGTGGAAAGATGGATTGTTGATTGAAGAGGAAGTTGCATCTTGCCTTCCATATGTGCCAACAAGTGATAGCAACATATGAAAGCAAGCTGCTCCTTGCACTAGTCTGTCCATTTACCGAATCAGGAATAACACCCAACCAATTCGCCCAAGATGTAACCTCCCCCCTGCGTAAGCCTCTTGTCAACATTCTCCCGTGCCACACCTTCTCCACCCACGGGCATTGAAGAAAAAGATGTATCATTGATTCTTCCTTCGAGTTGCAAAAAGGGCAGATTGGTGAAGGAGAAGATCGGCGCTTAAACAAATTAGCCTTATTTGCCACTGCCTCCTGTAAGGTCTTCCACATAAAGCATCTTATTTTTTGCGGTACCTTAAGCTTCCATACACACTTCCATAAATGTTTTGGGATGAAGGCAGACCTATGAGGGTGACCATTTCTTTGTTGCCGAGTCCTGGTTAAGCCCAATGATATTCAGACTTGACCGAATAAATTCTCTTTTTTCACGAAAGGCCACACCAATTTGTCCTTCAACGTCGGGTCATTATTATTTTGTTTGGTTCAGGTTGAGCTTGTTATGCTTCTGGTGGAGAAAAAGACACATACCTAAATGATCTCACACAATTGCTAACCATAAATTTAGATTAATTATTATGGGGTACTAATGGGAAGTGACTGATAGTGATAATAACATTGTCAACCAGCATTCGTCACGGACGATAATCATTTCATGTACCGACAATGTACTGTAGGGTGCATTTGGTACGTGGGATAGGACGGAACAGAGTGGGACGGACGTGTTGGTGCGCTAAAATTATGTGGAACGCGTGTCCCACAGAATGAAAATGGGTTAGATTTTGGTTCCCCCTCCCCTCCCTGGAACAGGTTTTTCCATCCCGTGGGACACAAAATTATATTTTTTTGGACAACAATACCCCTCTTATTTTTCATTAATTACATTGTCTACCTCACTTTCTCTCCCGTAACCTCCCTCTCTTCTACCCTTGTCTCTCCCGTAGCCCTCTTCTTCCTCCACCACAAACCCAGTAACCCAACTGCTAACCCAATCCCAGAAAACCCATCCGACGACGACGACGTCACCATAGCAAACCCTCTTCTTCTCCGGCGCTGTCTGGCGTCACAAACATGACCCGCATCTCGTCATCTCCGTCCGTGTAAGCGAGGTGGATCTGATCCGGAACACGACCCGATTCGAAGCTAAGCTCGTCATCTGAGGTGGCGAGTAGGTGGGCGATGCCGGGGAGGGGGTTGTGGTCCTGGTTGAGGTGGTTGGGGTCGACCTCGGACTCTTTCCAGCTGAAAATCCGGAAGAAGTAGTTGAATCGGAGATTGACCAGAGGGAGGGAAATGGAGCTCAACCCAGATTTCCATGTGGGGGTGGAGGAGAGGAACTTATAGTCTATAAAGTTGTCGTGGTGGGAGGAAGGGGCCGAGTAGATGTCGAGCCAGTCGAGTCAGGAGGGCGCCGGACCATTGGATTAGGACGGAGTCGCCCGATTTGGAGAGGGAGGTTGGGGAGAGAGAGAGTGAAACAGTTTGGTGGGTCGGAGGGAAGAAGGTGTACAAACAAGGCTAAGTTAGTCATTTAACACGAAATCCGAACCGTTTCATCCTATGCATACCAAACATAACACGAACCTCCATTTCGTTCTGTTCCGTCCCGTCCTGTCCCGTCCCGTCCGGTTCCGTCCCGTCTGCGTACCAAACGGTACCGTACTGAACATCTCACCAAAGTCCTGCCTTTTATCACTCTCTAGGGTTCATCATGGCATGCACATTAAAGATTCATAATCTTTTTAATTTTTAATTTTCGATTAAAAAAAACGAGAAATACAAACTTCTTTTGTAATTATTTTCAGTTTTTTTTTAATTGGAAAATGAAAATATCCCCTAAAATTTTCTGATTGCTTTGAGCCTGTTCGAGTTACATCCTTATGTAAAAACTATGTATTCACATTTTTCTTATTCTCAGAAAGAAGCCCGTAAACAAATGCAAGGAGAAAGAGAGTTTTGAACACAAAACATAGTGAGCTAAAGAGAGAAACTTTAATTACCTGGGTAATCTATCACTTGCAAAGCTAGAATTTAGTGTTAGGAAGGACCTTGCACAATGTTAAAAATAAAAAACCAACATTTATATACTAATCAAACAATAATATGTGTAGATATATATATATATATATATATATATATATATATATATATATATATAACCTCAACCCTATATATATATATATATCCAAAATAATATATGCATTAATAATAATAAGGAAAACTAATGAAAATGGCTTGAAAACTTTGAGTTTGAACGATAAGGACAAAATAAATGGTAAAGTGAATAGTACCAGGATTGACTTTTTAGTGTAAAAATGTGGTTTTTCGTTAAAGTGAACAGTACCGAAAGGTTTTCGTTAAAGTTCCCTTAATAATATTACCTATCTTTTTGTTTTTTAATAAACAAATAATTTATTAAAGACAAAAACCTCTAGCACAACCAGACGCCCAAGTGTCTAATCTAAGGACGGTCAAAGCCTCATGGGGCAAACAGAAGTCCCATAAGTGAGGGTTATCAATAAAAAGGCCGACATGCGCAATAGCATCAGCAACAAAATTTGCTTCTCTAAAAATATAAGTTACGAACTTTAACACTAAGATGTATGATAGAGAACAAACAATAAAAGTTATAGAGAACATAAGAGATTTACAAGACTTTGCAGTTTTTTATTTTTTAACATTTGAAAATTTGGATAATAAAATGTATAAAATTTCAAGAAAGATAGCTCTGGTTTGAACCTGGCTGCATCAAGCACCGTGCAAGACTTTTCATTTTTATCCTTTTTTTTTTAATGTGAAACTAACTCCTTGTTAACTTGTATGAATGAGGATCCTCTCCGGATCTTCTTTGTGAAGATCATGGAGATTCTCAAATTGTGTCCGTTCATCGTACATCGTGCGATCAGAAATTATTTTAAATTAAATATGAATAGTGTCTGACGAAAACCAACCGCACGATATAAGGTGAACAGACACAATTTGAAGATCCCTAGGATCCTCACAAAGAGGATTCAGAGAGGATCCTCCTGGAACTTGTATTAGCGATATCAATAATATTTTTATAATTGTTGGATGGGCATAATTTTGTAAATTAAATGACATAAAAATTAATGATTGAGTTATTACTTAAACATTAATAAATGTACTCATTCTTATTGGTGACAAATAATTTAGTTTGTAAATTTTATCTATAAATTTTGTCTCTCTAGCATTACATTTACCTAAGCATTGATAGATGTGCTCATTTTTATTGGTGACACATAATTTAATTTGCAAATTTCGTCTACAAATTTAATTTTTCTAGCCTTACCAAATAAAATAAAATAATAAGCAGACATAAAGAAGTTTGAGAAAAAATGATTTTGAGCAAAACCAACTAAGATGCTCGACAATAACTTCATTATTTAAAAAATGTCAAGATGGACCTAGGCAGTCTTAGAGCCTTGGTCCCTCCGCCAATACTTCCATGTTCACCAAAATTTAAGGGAATTTTAACGAAAATCTCTTGGTACTGTTCACTTTAACGAAAAACCATATTTTTACAATAAAAAATCAATCATGGAACTATTCACTTTACCCTTTATTTTGTCATTATCATTAAAACTCAAAGTTTTCAAAACATTTTCATTAGTTTTCCAAAAATTTAAAGGCAAGAATATAAACAAATGGAATTCAATAATTTAAGTTCTGGCCAGCTCAACCTACACATGGTTGGGTTATTTGTTCATTCTTTAGTTTGAAAAAAGAAAAGAAAAGATTAGTTAGGGTTTTGACCTGGCAATCCATTCTTTTAGGGGCTGAAAACTCACAAAGGCATATAAAAATCTCCTTATCATCGTCGTGCGATTCATCAACATTAAGAATTGAACACATGAATGGATTATTAGGTTAACCAGTATGAATCATCCTGCAATATAATTTTACCCAGAAAAAGCATACAATAATATTATGTATTATTTCTTAATTCATAAATACTTTCTTGTGCTCCACTCCACTCCACCCCACCCCACCCTAAATTTTATCTTTTCTTTTTTTCTTAAATACTTTTTTCAGGTCATATAAGAAAGAGTTTGTACATCCGAATAAATATAATCTGAATCGATCAGGAATTTAAAACCAGATTAGCCACGAATATGCCATCCAAAATGAAAGCATTTCCTAGAAAAATGGCATGATTGTAATATCAGAAAAAATAGAGGGGCATTTTGGGAACAATAAAGTACTGTACAAAGTGGAAGATGATGCCCTACATAACGCTGTATGAGTCGCAGCCTTCCTTACATATCGTAACTCTTTATTCACTTTACCAACCTTACCGTATAAAGATTGCATTCAAAGTTTTTTTTTTAATTTTTTTAAAATTTTTATTTGGAAACACTTTGGTTATAAGACTAAACGACTAAAATAAATGAATTTTTTTAAGAGGTATTTTAACGATGATAAAGAGAATGAATAAATATTTTTGTTGAATATAAATCTCACGTCGAGAAATTGAGAAAATACAATACAAGTGTACAGTTTCACTTTCAATACCATCAAGACAACACTTTTTAATGAGCAAATAAATTAAAATAGTATCAGTGTGGTTAAGAGTGGACTAGTGGGCTATCTCTAAATTTTTTGAGAGGAACAAGCTGAAGCTACTTATCTTTATTGTGATAATACTTCTACAATTGCCATGACTAGGAATTCAGTTCCATTAGGTAGCGTTTGGTACGCAGACGGGACGGAACGAGACGGAACGGAACAAAGATTCATGTCATGTTTGGTACTGGCAAGATGGAACAGAACGAAACTGGATTAAATGACTAACTTACCCTTTTTATTTGACTCTCTCTCTCCCGTTTCTCTGCTTTCTCTTCTTCCATTTGACTCTCTCTCTCTCTCTCCCGCATGCTCAGATCTCCCAGTAAAAATCAAACCCAGTAAATCAAACTCATACTTTCTCTTCATTTCATTATCTTTCTCTTCAATTCCAGTAAATCAAACTATTTTTCCCCAATTTAAAACCAACGATATGAAAAGGCTAAGGGAGGTCAATGTGGATTCCCAATTTCCATCCACTACCTGGTTTAGCGTAATATCAATTTACCTCCTCCATTTGAAGATTTAACATTAAACACACATTACACACACAATGCCTCAATTCCAAAACATGAAAAACCTCGATTTATCTCTCACAATTTCAGGATTAACATTTCAGATCACTGTGATTATTCAAATCAACAAACGGATAATACAAATTTTAAACCCAGAGAGAGAGAGAGGGGGTGGGGGCTTACGGAGAAGGGGAAAGAGCCATTGAGGAGCAACAGGGGTTGACGGAAGCCATTGGAAGGTGGGCGTGGAGCTGCTGCTTTCAGGCTTTCAAGCTTTCAGCTTCCCGTCGAATGTTAGGAGCTTGATTTCTACAGGCATGCTTGATGGGGTTCCTATAAAATATGTTTCCTTGGCACGTGAGGTAAGCTCCTGAGCTTATTGTCCATTTTTGTTCAGTTAAGAGAGAGAGAGCCGACGAAAGAAATAGAAGAGAAGAGGAAGAGAGAGCCGACTCAGCCCGGAAAGCCCGAAATCGAGCTCGAATTCATTTGGGTTGCTGGGTTTGTGGTGGAGGAGGAGGCTACAGGAGAGAGGAAGGGTAACGAAGGTACGGGAGAGGGAGGCTGCAGGAGAGAGAGGGAGGGTAGACAGTGGAATTTTTGTGTTCCACATACGTGGAACAACCCGTTCCGGAGGGATGAGGCGGGACGCAAAAACACCCAAGTTCTGTCCTGTGGAATAGCGCGTTCCACCCATTTTTGACGTACCAAACGCGGGACGGAACGCCTCGTCCCGTTCCGTCCCGTCCCGCGTACCAAACGCACCCTTAAAGATCAAAACACATTTGCAAAAGATATCACTACATTATAGAGGTTTTGCAGTCAAGCATCATTAATTTGATGTATTGCAAATATGAGGAGAAATTGGCAGATATATTCACAAAAGCGTTGCTAAAGGATAAGTTCTATATGCTCAGGAACATGTTAGGAGTCAAATAAGCAACAAGCTTAATTAGAAAGGGGTTTTGAAAAGTATACAGCCTCAAATACATAACAAACTGGACGATTCATTCATTTCTGAATGTAGAAAAGTACGTAAATTTGTAGATTTTAAGCGGACATGCTAGTAACTTTCTTGTTTGGACCTTCTCATTTTTTTTACGCTCCTGCATTTTGTTTAGTGATGAAATTCGTCAATTTTCCAAATCACCTTTTGAAGATCAATATGTCAAAAATCAACCCAATTAATTTTTTAGATTGATGACATAAACAGTTTGAATTATCTATTGCCCTTCTTAATTCGTCTGTATTATTTTGTTTAATTCAAGTAGAGCTTGTTATGCTTCTGGTGGGGAGAGAGAGACATACCTAAATGACACACAGCTGCTATAAATGCATAAATTTAGATTAATATTATGGGTGAAGTGATTGATAATGATAAAAACATTGCCAACCAGCACTTGTCACGGACGATAATCATTTCATGTACCAACAATGTACTCTAAGCATAGTGTTTTTCATGTCATACATTTACAAAATTTCGGATTGCTTTGAGGCTGTTCGAGTTACACCCCTATGCTTAACTACGTATTCACATTTTCCTTATTCCATAAGAAAAACGATTGAGCTTTTTACTTCGGAAAACTTCCTAATAACGTTTTTTGAGTGCCGATAACAACCTTGGTTTTTTTTCAAGAAAGGAGCCCATAAACTAATGTAAGAAGGAAGTGAGTTTGAACGTAAAACGTAAGTGAAAAATCTTAATTACCTAAACAATCTATCACTTGAGAAACTACTTTGAAATCAACTTTCACGTTCATAAAGGCAAGAATATAAACAAATGCATTCAATTTTGACCAGCTCAACCAACACATGGATGGGTTATTAGGTTAGCTAGATGATTCATCCTGCAATATTATTTGTTATCTGAAAGAGCATACAATAATATTCTGTATTATTTCTTTATTCATATAATACTTTCTTCTCCTCCAATCCACCCTCAATGTATCTTTTCTTTCTTCTTAAATACTTTCCTCAGATCTCTCATATCAGACACAAGTTGTGCAAGATATGATCCGAATAAACATAACTGAATCGATCAGGAATGTAAGACTAGATCAGTTGCAATTCTGCCATTCTAAGAGCATTTTCACACGTTTGTGGAAGGCAAGTGTGTTGAATTTTGTAAGATTTTTAAGTGTGAACTTTGTAAGTTTTTTGAAAATTTTCAATAATTTTTTTTGGTAATTGTTTTTAGATTTTTTAGAGTTAGATTAATCTTGACGGTCAATTTTTCAATTTTGTAAAATCAGAGGTTTCACAAAGCGCCACGTGATGCATTAGCCAAATTTTCAATTTTTTTAACCAACGGTCCTGATCAATAGAGTTTTAGAAATCCAACGGCTGTAAAGAATCAAATTTTAGCTGATTCATCTTTGTTGGGCTTCACGTGGGGGGGCCCATTGTCTAATAGGCTTCATGCGAGTGCAAGTCCCAGCTTCAGGAGGCAGAGTAGTCACAAGGGCTCCTCCCGTCCTTGCAATTGCTTACATTTTTTTTCCCATTGGAGATGATTTTTTGGCTAAGGAAGTTACCCAATTGCCCTTGCAATAAAAGTTTTAACAAAATATTTTTGATACTGTTTATTTTAACGAAAAATTACATTTTTACTCTAAAAAGTCACTCCTGATACTATTCACTTAAAATATATTTTTATCATTTTCTTTAAAATTCAAAAATTTTAAATCATTTTTATTAATTTTCTTCTTTGCAATTGAGTGACTGCTGACTGCAGACTGCTGGAGATGCTCCAAAGTTAACAGCATTTCCTAGAAGTATGGCATGATTGTAATATCAGATAAACAGAGGGGGTTTTTTTGTGAACACAAGGTATTGTACAAGCTGGAAGATGCCTGCATAACGCCGCATGAGTAGCAACCTTCCTTGCATATCGTGACTTTTTATTCACGTTATCATCCGTACCATTTTTTTTATATAAAGATTGCATTCCGAAAGTTTTATTTGATTTGGAAACACTTAAAGATATTAATAACTCAATGTGAAGTAAACAAATTAACGTTTCACAACGTTACTTGTTATTATTGTCTAAGACTTATTCGACACATATGAATGATTAAACAATTAAAATAATTTAATATTTTTAAGAGGTAATTTTTTTTAAATGATAAACAGAATGAACAAATGTTTGTGGAATATAAATCTCACATCAAGGAATCGAGAAAATAAAATACGACATATAAGTGTATGATTCCACTCTTATTAACCGAAACCTTTTGTAAAATCAAATACCTAATAATGAGTGATTAAGTACTGATTTGGTACTGAGGTGCTATTATAAAAAGTGGGTACAAAAAAAACTGAGCTTAAAAAGATGTTTGGTAAACACTTAAAAATAGCTTATTTTCACAGTTTTGGGTGAAAAAAAAAAAAGCTGAAAACATGAAGCAACAAAAAAGAGCTTATTCTCCCAGCATAACAGAAATAGTTTTTTCTCATAGCACAGCAATACCAAACCAACCCTAGGAGTGAACCACACCTATCGTTTAATTTTAACCATAAAATAATGTCAAATAGTGATTGCACTAGCAATAGCTACAGCTCTTTTACATGCACAAAACCAACGGTGTCCCCAAGAAGAATGGGATGGTGGTAAATTTTGAAATTCGAAAGGGCATTTTGGGAACACAAATGTCGAATCCCAGGTAGCCCTGTATGAGTCGCAACCTTCCCGAACAGTAACTGAAAAAACGCTCCTCGTCCAATTGGAACTTTTTATTTTTTATTTTTTAATTATATATTTAATTATTTTCATATAATTCTGATTTTTGTATCTCCAACCGTTCTACTTGAGTAAGGTTGGTACTACTTAAATGGGACTATATAAGTACGGCAATATCTACTCCGAAATTCCGAATATCTTAATTCTATTTGCTGTATTTTTTAATTATTTTTATTTTTATTTTTTTAATATAATTTTTATATATTTGTTTTGTCAGGTTGTTCGTACTGTCCGCACTTGAATCTGTCCTTCCTCACATAGGTCCTCCACCAAATAAGCTACTTTTTGCTACAAGAAAACGACTTTTTCAATTCCGAAAGTACCCTAGCCTACTTTCCCTTAATTACTTCCGTCCTTACCGTCCTTCCCCGTACACAGTCTCCTTTTCCATCTTAAATGACCAAACTACCCCGTCCTTGATACTTTCCATTTTACCAATTGGCCTTTTTCGTTGGGTTCTTTTTGTTAAGTGATTTTTCACACTTTGCACATTTCTTTAATTCTCCCTTAATTCATTCAATTTAAAAACTAAGACAAAAGCGTCACTTAGTACTACAATCTAAAAGTATTTTTCTTGACTAATAAGTGAGATATCTCAAGTTTGATTCTCATCAAAGACGAATTTGAACCACATTATTGCTAGTCCATTATGAGGCTTAGTTCATTCCTCAATACCTAAAAAGAAATGATCATATGATTATATTGGTCAAAGTAGAATTTCTCATATCCACCATCCGAGAATTCATACAAATAAGAAAATGATAGTGTTATTCTCACCCCTATTTTTACTTCTCACACATCCTTATTAATTTTTGGCAATTGATTTTCTTCAATTCAATCAATCTGACGGCTGAAAATTGAGATGATGTGGGAGAAATAAAAATGAGTATGTGGATAGCAGTATTCTAAGAAAAACCCCTTTTTTCTTGGGAGTTTTAACGAAACACTCATGGTACTGTTCAATATTAACAAAAAATCACATTTTTACCTTTCCTTGATATTATTCACTACAGCTTTATTTGTCATTTTTTATTAAAACTAAAGTTTTTTTGAAATTTTTGTTAGTTTTTTTTTTCTTTTCTTAAGGTCAAATAAGAAAAACCCATTTGATTAGATTAGTTTAAGTCATTTGGGTCACTTAAGGATACTTATAGGAAACAAAGGATAAAATAGTCATTGCATATGGAAACAAGCAAGAATAGAAAGTACCACTATGAGGTAGCACAAGGCCATTATGGTGAGAAAAAACCCTTCCTCCACCATCTTCACTCCCCCATCAACGACTCTCTCTGCCCACGACCTACCCAAAAACCGAAAACCAGAATTCCTCTGCCCAATGGTTATCTCCGTCTTCTTCCACCTATAAAACCAAAATTTCTCTCCCAAAAACACCATTGTTCTCCATCTTCTTCCACCTCTAAAACCAACACCCATTTCCTCATCCAAATCGCAGAAAAAAAGCTCAGAGCATGAAGAGGCAAAAGACCATTCCACCCAACAACACCAACAACATGAACAACAACAATGGCAGCAACAATGGCAACAACAACGTCTTCCATGTTCTGTCCGATGAAATCATATTCATAATCCTCGACTGCCTCGAGCAAAACCCAATTGACAAAAAGTCCTTCTCTTTGGTCTGCAAGTCCTTCCACGCCGCAGAATCCAAGCACCGCAAGAAGCTCAAGCCTTTGCGCTCCGACCACCTCCCGAGAGTCCTCCGCCGGTACCCAAATGTCACCCACGTTGATCTCACGCTCTGCCCGCGAGTCCCGGACGCCTCCCTCGCCGCCGTCTCAAATGCCTGCAGGTCCACCCTCCGTTCGATAGATCTTTCGCGGTCGAATTGCTTTTCCGGAACTGGGTTGCTGAGTTTGACTGCGAATTGCAAGAATCTGGTGGAGATCAACCTGTCGAACGCCACCGAGCTCAGAGACTCCGCGGCGGCGGCTCTGGCGGAGGCGAAGAACTTGGAGAAGCTGTGGCTGGGGAGGTGTAAGATGATTACGGATATGGGTGTTGGGTGTATTGCAGTTGGTTGCAAAAAGCTGAGATTGATTAATTTGAAATGGTGCCTCCGTGTTACCGACTTGGGGGTCGGATTGCTTGCTGTTAAGTGTAAAGATCTTCAAAGTTTGGATCTCTCTTACTTGCCGGTAAATTCCTGTTTTTACTAATTTACTTCATGTTTTTGTTGATTTGATTTGTGATTTTGTAGTTAGCTTTTGTACCATGAATGGTAATTGTTGTTTTTGTTTGGTTTAATGTTGTTTTGTTTTTGAAAGCACCCTGCTTTTGCATTGTAATTGTCAAATTTAATATTGTTTTTACACTTTTAATTTGAACTTTGGTATGCTAATGATTTTCTGTGTCTGCATAGTGATTTGTTTTTTCTTGGTGATTTGCAGATCACAGATAAATGCTTGCCGTCGATCTTCGAGTTACAATATCTTGAAGATTTGGTTCTAGAAGGATGCTTCGGCATCGACGATGACAGCCTTTCTACCTTCAAACATGGGTGCAAGTCGCTTAAGGTACCTATGCTTAGCTTGTCTGGTTCGAGATTGCTTGTTGTCTTGAGCATCTTTTGTTAAGTGAGGTTTAACATGAAATCCTTCGATTGGATTTGGATAGTCTTGTGGGAGATTAAAATGTTTAACAATTCGACTTTTGATTATATTTCTTCTTATTACACGAGATTATTTGGTTGGGCCGAAATTTAAATTTGATGCTTGTCGGTATAATAGACAGTTCGTGCTAGTTACTTGTCAAGTTTACATTACTGTTTCGACAAATTTTGACATATGCTGTTGTATTACCATTGACAGAAACTTGAGATATCTAGCTGTCAGAACATTAGTCATGTTGGGTTGTCCGCCCTAGCAAGCTGTAGTGAAGGATGTTTAGAGCAACTCGTGTTGTCATATGGCTCTCCTGTAAGTACTGACTTTCCTCGAGTCCTTTTTATAGTTAATATTGTGATTTCTTAACTCACACATTGCACTGTGGTGGCACTTGTGGTCAGGTAACTCTTGCTCTTGCTGACAGTTTGGAAAAGCTTCCAACGTTGCAGTCAATCAAATTAGACGGTTGCCTGGTTACCTGCGCTGGACTAAAATCCATCGGAAACTGGTGTGTTTCACTAAGGGAGCTGAGCTTAAGTAAATGTGTGGAGGTGACCGATGAGGGTCTGTCCTCCATTTTGAAAAAGCACAAGGATTTGCGGAAGCTAGACATCACATGCTGCCGAAAGATAACTTATGCTTCTATTGCCCAGATTTCTGAGTCGTGTACGGCACTCACTTCTCTTAAGATGGAGTCATGTACCCTGGTTCCTCGAGAAGCATTTGTCCTCATTGGACAGAGATGCCAAACTCTTGAGGAGATTGACATAACAGATAATGAAGTCGACGACGAAGGTTTTTCCCTCGTCCAACCTCAGTGTTACTAAGAACTGCTATTTGAATTGCATACTTATATACCTTCTATGTGCAGGTCTGAATTCCATCTCTAGATGTTCCGAACTCTCCAGCTTAAAACTAGGAATTTGCCTGAATATAACTGACAAAGGAGTCGTGAACATTGGCATGCGCTGTATGAAACTCTTAGAGCTCGATCTATACAGGTTTGTAACTCATGATCCTTGCAAAACTTGAACCTTTGTTGTAATTTTTTTTTTCCTTTTCATTTCCCCCTTGTGCACAGAAACGTACCGAATGCTTAATCTCAGTCTAAGGTCTCGTTGATTTTGAATCATGCTGATCTATGTCTTCAAAAGTCTAACTAATTTATATAGGAAACAAATCCCAACTTCTCTACAAGGTCTTCTGTGTTTGTGCTCGAATATTTGTTTGTGTAAACATCTATTCATAGACTGACAGAACAAGGCATTAATCTGAATGTGTTTCTTTTGTTTAGATGCACAGGAATTTCAGACTCAAGCATGTCAGCTATTGCTAGAGGTTGTCCTGGACTTGAGATGATTAACATAGCCTACTGCAAAGACATTACTGATAGTTCGTTAATCTCGTTGTCAAAATGCTCAAGTTTGAACACCATTGAAAGTCGAGGATGTCCTCTTATCACATCTTTGGGTCTAGCAGCAATTGCTATGGGATGCAAGCAACTGACCAAGCTGGACGTAAAGAAGTGTTCAAATATTGATGATGCTGGGATGATCCCACTTGCTCACTTTTCTCAGAACCTTAGACAAGTACGCTTTCTCATTTCTTGCTTTCATGTGAGCCTACAGTTTGATAGAGAACACTTGTTTTTAACCAGACGGTTCATATTTTTGTGCAGATTAATTTGTCATATAGCTCAGTTACAGATGTGGGGCTGTTATCCTTAGCCAGTATCAGTTGCCTACAGAGCTTAACCATCTTGCACTTGAAGGGCTTGAGCCCTAATGGACTGGCAGCTGCCTTATTGGCCTGCGGGGGGCTAACTAAAGTAAAGCTCCAAACAACCTTCAAGTCATTGCTACCCCATGCTCTTTTCGAACATTTAGAAGCGCGCGGTTGTGTGTTTCAGTGGAGAGATAAATTCTTCAGGGTAAGTGTTTTTACTTATCAATCATCAAATCCACGAAGATGCTAACTTTTCCAACAAATTTGTTTAGTCTAATGTCATTAAAGATGTAGGACGTAACTGCAAATATTTTGTGTTTTCATACCAAACAATAATCAAGTTACACGTTCTTTGCACTCAGATTCGTGCTTTCGATCCAATATCACCGCAAAAGAAGTCATAATATATGACTATATGATTTGTTTGTTGATTGTACTTGACTATCTTATTGACTTCAGTTTGTATGATTGACAGGCAGAATTGGACCCTCAATGTTGGAAAATACAGTTAGAAGACATCATGCAATGAGTTTTCCCACGACAATTTCGGTTGAGATGTTTAGGTTCTTTGGACTCTGTTGTGAAGAAGGCAAAAGTCCTCGGGTTGCTCGATGTGTAGGACTGGTTTTTTCTTTTAGTTGTCACAGCTTACTGGATGCATTTACAAGTTTTTCGAAGTTGCGAAGCCCAGAAACGGGGGCTTTGCTATGTAATCTCTTGACTCTGCCACCAATCTTACCAAATCCGTTGAAAAGTTTAATGGATGGATGGTTTGGATGCAATGTTAAATGTTCATTTTCCTTATAGCTAACGTACGTTATCAACTAATGAGTTTGGTTACTGTGATATTCGGAGCACGACTTTGGACCAGTTTGATTTATGAGATTCATGTATGAAAGTGGTGAGTAAAACGTTTTCCTTATTTGAGAAATTTTTAGTGTGCCCGTGCTATGAAGTAGTACACTACGTGTCATTATTACGTAAGTGCAGGAAAATTTTAGTTTTCAAGTGTCACTCCACTTCACCCCGTATTTCTGGAACATTGAAAAATCTTTCTTCCTTATTTTTGTTTAAATTAGAAAAAGGGGGGCAATGTGATATTAGACAAGAAGACGACGTGTTTAAGTTAGAAAAAGGGATTAAAAAGTCATGTGGCCAATGTTTACGGTAATAAATGTGAATTAACGACACAGGTCAAGAGTTGTTTCTTGAGGTGATGTGTTGGTGGAAATTGTTGCATTTGGTCAATGCGAGTTTTTAGGATATTATTGTAGTGTTTTGCACATGTTCGCGCTCTTTTTCGGTCACAAAGATTTTGTGTCGTATTTTGTGAACCCCGACTGTATTGACACCTCGAAGAAACTCTTGAGGGCGTTAAGCCACCCTTCCACGGTGGGTGGCCTTGACCCACTTTTGTATATGTTCAGTTCTTCTCCTACTTGCTCCATGTTGGCGCATCTGTTCTTGAAGCAACATGCTCATATGTTTGTTGTAATCGCCGCTCGTCAACGATCTTATTGACACCTCAGACATCACATTCAAATAAGTATCGGTGATCATATCGTATAATAACGAGTTTCAATAAAACCGGTTTAAAGTGAAACATATTAGGGTGGATTGTCAATTTAGTCTTTAAATTATCATCTCAGTGAAAATTAGGTCCTTAAACTATTTTTTTCAGAAAAATTAGTCTTTGAATTATAAAAATCTGCCAATTACATCTCGAATATTATATTCGAAGCTACTATATTCAATTTTCCATCAATTTAACTCACGTTGCTTGCATGTGATACACATTAGAGGGTAGATTGGTAGTTTTTCATAAAGAAATAGTGTATGGAGTTAACTTTGGAGGGTAAATTAGATTTTAGATTCGCAACCTATATGAAATGTGAAGGGTTTATAGGCGAGAAAATGACAATATTACACTCTAAAATGTGTCAAGTGACTTAAGTTGAATAAAAATTGGATAAAATAACTTTGAATATAATAGTATGGATGAAATTAGTAATTTTTAATGAATTTATGAACTTATTTTACCGAAAAATAAATTCAGGGACTTAATTTTCACTGAGATAATAGTTCAGGGACTAAATCTACACTTCTTTCACATATTAAAAATAAAATACTCTCCGTAATCATTTGTTTATTTAAGAAAAATAAAGCACAACATCTTTTATCTCTTGTGCCTAGATTCCTTCTCTCTCAATTTCTCATGATTCGTGATTGTTTATCAACCCTGAGTGTTGGAAAATACAGTCAAAGATCCATGCAATCGGCTTTCTCACTTTTCTTGTAGGTTGAGATGTCTTCATCTTGTGACATTTACTTTGGACATGACATTGAGATATGGTCTTTGTACAAAATGATTTTTCATAACGTTACCCAAAATACTATCCTTATTATTATTATTGTGATAATGTGCATGACCCACATATGGCTAAAGATGGAGAGTGGGAAACTAGAAATGTCAACAAAAAAATATACAGCATAAATAGTATAAGTATGATTTTTTATACTATTCTGGTGCATAATTTCTCAACATGCATTGAAGGAGAGTGTAGACTTCTTCAACGTGCATCATATGATGAATACATAGATGAAAACCAAAAATTAATACTCATACTTATCCTCACCTCCCATTTCTCTCGACTAATACCGTTAAAAAATATAAATAAAATGATTCATTACTCTCGTTGTAGTTCAATATCTAACAAAGGTTTGTTCTCACTTTATTTTTTATAACACATTACCAACACGATTCATTTACTGCGAACTGTTTCCCATAAAGGTTTCTCATGACCAAATAATTCTTTATTTCTTTTAGCTCATGTAATTAAGGTATGGTGAAAAGAAACCAATTTGTTGAAGCATTTTTGCTGTCAAAAATTTTTGATAAAAAAACAAAAGGACCCGCGGGAGTCGAACCCAGGTCGCTGGATTCAAAGTCCAGAGTGCTAACCACTACACTACGGAACCTTTTTCGTTCAAGACGCACCTATTAATTTAATTTGCCCGCCCTTCTCGAGTGAAACAGATTTATATTTATGGGATCTTTTAGTGTTTTTATTGTCGACTGAGATATTTTAGTTTAAATACCATGTTTTTGTTTAGGTACTAATGGAAAAGTCAATCAAAATAATTATATAAATACTACTATAATTCAAAATAATTGCTTGATTGCTGCTCAATCCTACCACGTTTTCGACCAGGCAACTTTTTTCTACAACCAGTTGATCAAATTTTCCGGTCTCAATATACTGTTCAACAATGATCTTAAAAAACCATGTTGAGTAATGAATTTTCTCATAAGTTCTCTAATTTTATTGTGTATATATGTAAAGGAAAAATAAACTCACATGAAAACATATTTGAAGATGAAAAATTGTACATATTATTTTTTTAGTTAATGTTGAATAATGATTTGAAGTTTTCCGGCGATCGGAAAAATATTTCGACCACAATGACGATGACAAATGACAATTTTCTGGCACTAGCACAAATGGGATGTGGGTCATGTGCAATAATTGTATTTGACCACAATTTATGGCTAAATTAAACAAAATTGGAAGAGATTAACAGTTTTCTGAATTTGCCCTTTAGATTATTTCATATTTTGACCTAATCAATCATTAGTTACTATTAAATTGAATTCATCATTTTTTTAATAATATTAATGTTTCTTTCGATTTGCCTACAATAATTAGCTTTTGAGGGATTTTGTCCTCTATATGAAGGCAATAATAATCAAAGTTTAACTTGGTGATGTTGTCACTTAGCAAAGAAAAGTGCAAAATTTAAAAAATAAACCAAAGAAAGCAATATAAAACGAGTAATGATGTTCTTACCATAATTTTATACCACATTTCTTTACCATTTTAGATGACAGATGAGTTGGACAAACTACATTATTTAATTTCAAGTTTCTTGTTTATTAAAACACTTAAATAAGGAAAATTGCATACTTCAAGATCTCCCTCTGGCGTTAGTAACTTAATTGGGTATGAACCTTAATCTGATAGACAAATTTGATTTTGACTCCTAATTCGCATGAAAGCTAATAGGCATTACTAAATGAAATAATCAGATGAAATCCTTCTTTTAAACCACTAAAAAATTATTTTGAAAATAAAACAAAAAAAGATCACGAGATGAACAACCATGGAGTACCAATGAAGATTGGAGACAGAAATACTTGAAGGGGAATGCGGATTGGGGCTACGGGGTATGAGTCTGGAGATAGAAATCAATGGTGATTGTATATAAAGCTTGACCATAATCATGGAAATCAACAGAAATCAATAAAAAAACTAGCGTGAAAAAGAAAAGGGAAGGAAGAAGAAGCATAATGGATAGGGGAAGGAAGAAGAACTAGCGTATATCATAATCATCATTTAATTAACAATATTATTATTAATTATTGATTACTAGTTTGAAATTAAATGCTAATTAATTTAGATGATGTGGCTGTCCATATCAGATGTCACCTAAGATGGTATATGTGACGACCCGTCCCGAATAATTATATATTTTATCCTCGAATGCATGGAAATGACTAGTTTGCCCTCATTGGCCTTGTGACGTGGATGTACATAGATAATTTTAAATTATTTTCTCACTGACGTAATTAAATTGTACTCGACGTCCAAAGAGCATTGACACGAGTTAGGGCCGAATCAAGCTCGTAACGGAAAAGTTAAGAATGTTAGAATTCAATTGAATCAAATAGGAAAATAAAATTTAGACCAATTGAGATCATTCCTGTTTTCTTGGAGCCTAATTAGGATTTGGTTGAAGTAGATGTTGGGCCATTTGGGTTTTCCTTTCTTCTTCTCTCTCATGGCTGCCCAATAGGGAGCCTTGATATTTTCCTTTGGCCAATCCCATAGCTGAATCACACACACACCCACACGTAACCTTTCTTCCTTTCTCATCCTTCTTAAAATCTCTCTTGTCCGTACCGTCCGTACACCCATACACCCAACCATCCTCATCTAGCACAAATTGAGCTGTTGGAGACCACCTTCAAGTTCGTTGCAAACTCACGAGCCTAACCATACCCTTTGTTTGAGGGAAGGACGCTGGAATCGTGAGAATTTTCGAGCTCCGGCGAGGAGTTCTGTTGCTCTGATGTGATCGTGGGAGATTTCATTGGTTTTGAGGCTTAAGAAGGTACTCTTCTAGTTTCCCTAGCACTTTGGAGTCATTTTGAAGCGTTTTGGACGTCGGGACACTCAGGTTTATTAAGTTGCAGACTTAGCCAGAATATTGAAGAATTTTCCGACAACTACTCTTCAGTTTTAGGGCTCCAAATAGGTAAGGTTTTATTCTCCTTGTTGAGGGCTTCAAATCCATATAAGATTTATGGACTTTGGTTGAAAAGTGAGTGAGAAAAGCGAATTTAAATTTTTTCCAGAATCCGGCGACCCACCGGAGAAGAAATGAGAATATTCCGTCAACTTTGACAGAATATACTACAGGCGTCAGGTATATTTAACGGAATATTCTATTATTTAATGGAATATTCTCTAATTGCGTTAAATTTTCCGTCCAATGTGCCAGGCACGTGCCTGCGCGTGGCCGATAAGTGAGGGCGTGTGGGACGTTGGAAAATTATTCTAAAAATATAGGGATGCTCGTGGTGTTGAGTAGGCCACGATGGTATATTCAAACACCTCAATTGAGCAATGTATAAGAAGTTATTATACGATTTTGATTGTGTGCTTAAATTAATGTTAAATCAGTGGTTTCACATATAGGTGAGACGTTCCTGGAGGACAAGTGAGTGGGCTTTTGGTTTTCTATACCAGTGAGTGGGCTTTTGGTTATATATATATACACGTATATATGATTTACATTTTTCCAGAAATTGTTTTAAATGAAATTATGTTTTAAATGCCATGTCATTTGCATTACATTTTAGTATATGCA